CCTACTACCACCACCTTCCACTCCTCCCACCATCACCACCATCACCACCATCCGACTCACCATCCGCCACCACCATCCACCATACTCATAATAGAACCACCACCACCACCACCATCACCTACATCACCATCACACACCACCACCATCCACTCACCACCACCATCCACCACCACCACACCACCACCACCACCACACAACCACCAAACCACACCACCACCACCACACTCCCACCACCACCACATCCCCCACCCATCCATCACACCACCATCCACCACCACTCCACCACCACCACCACCAACCACCACCACCATCCACCACCACCATACCACCACACACCATCCACCACCACCATCCCCACCACCACCACCATCCACCACACACCACACCACCATCCACCCACCACCACCACCATCCACCACCACCACCATCACCTCCACCCACCACCATCCACCACCACCACCCACCATCCACCACCATCACCACCACCATCCACCACCACATCCACCACCACCACCACCACCACCACCACCACCACCACCACCATCCACCACCACCATCACCACCACCATCCACCACCACCACCATCCACCACCACCACCACCACCACACCACACCACCACCACCCACCACCATCCACCACACCACCACCACCATCCACCACCATCCACCACCATCCATCACACACCACACACATCCACCACCACCATCCACCAATACCATCCACCACCACCACCACCACCACCACCACCCATCCACCACCACCATCCACCAATACCATCCACCACCACCACCACCATCCACCACCACCATCCACCACCACCATCCACCACCACCTCCACCATCATCCACCAATACCATCCACCACCACCACCATCCACCAATACCATCCACCACCTCCACCATCCACCACCACCACCACCATCCACCAATACCATCCACCACCACCACCATCCACCACCACCACCATCCACCAATACCATCCACCACCACCATCCACCACCACCATCCACCACCAACACACCACCATCCACCAATACCATCCACCAATACCATCCACCACCCACCACCACCATCCACCAATACCATCCACCACCACCACCATCCACCAATACCATCCACCACCACCACCATCCACCAATACCATCCACCAATACCATCCACCACCACCACCATCCACCAATACCATTCACCACCACCACCATCCACCAATACCATCAACCACCACCACCATCCACCAATACTATCCACCACTACCACCATCCACCAATACCATCCACCACCACCATCTTCCACCAATACATCCACCACCACCACCACCATTCACCATACCATCCACCACCACTATCCACCAATACCACCCACACCACCACCCATCCACCATTACCATCCACCACCACCACCACCATCCACCAATACATCCACCAACTACCACCATCCACCAATACCATCCACCACCACCATCTTCCACCAATACCATCCACCACCACCACCACCATTCACCAATACCATCCACCACCACCATCCACCAATACCACCACCACCACCACCATCCACCATTACCATCCACCACCACCACCACCATCCACTAATACCATCCACCATCACCACCATCCACCACCACCATCCACCATCACCACCATCCACCACCACCATCCACCACAGCCACCATCCACCACCACCATCTACCACCACCACCATCTACCACCACCACCATCCACCAGTACCATCCACCACCATCCACCAATACCATCCACCACCACCCACCAATACCATCCACCACCACCACCATCCACCACCACTGCCATCCACCATCACCACCATCCACCATCACCACCATGGTTGCTTATTTCACAGTCGCACTTAATAAACAAGCATGAAACACAATGAATTAATTGTGAAATGTTTAAATGAGCATGCAGGTTAGTGTTCACTCAAGTATAAACAAAGTCAGACTGGCTCACGACGCCTGTGACAGGTCTGGTACGTGGTTTGAAACACGGAGCACGTTCAATACTTGGGACAAAATTGGTGCGAGAAAGCAGTAGAAACTCGAAGCGTTTGATAGTCGATGCATTCAAAACTCAGGGTTCCACTGTGTGTCATTACATATGCCACGAGTGGTGTTGTATTTTGTTGTTGGGTGTATAAGGGCCACTGAGAGCATAAGCCATACATAGTGGTGGTGGAGGCAGCGGTATTGTCAGTCGCCCTATATTCCTCCAACAACATTGGAGGAGTTAGGTTCGTGCTGTCCTTTTTCTATCGATTAATCACTTAACTTACTTGCTACACTGTTAATGCTACACTTTATCACTGGCTGGCACTATGGCCTTTATTGGCTCGTGCTGTTTTAGTATCATACATATTGTAGAATCACTGAAGAAAGCACATTCTCCCCTCTCTCTTCCTCCTTCACTTTGGTACTTTGCTACGAGTTCTTTCTTGAATTCTATTGTGTTTCTCACCTTCTTTACCAAAGGCCTGGCACTAGGAGCTTTCTTTGGGTCCATGGTGGCTTATTTAGTAGTTGCAAGCACTAAAACGAATGGAATGTTACGAAATATATCGTATGAACGCGTGGGATTGTCCTCACTTGCTGATAAACAATGGCACACTGGCTGTGAATGGAGTGTGGGGCCGCTCAGGGACGTGCGTACGTGTCTGGGACGAATGACTGTTTGCAAGTCAAACAACAATTCGTGAGTCAGTATTTTGACGGAAAAATGTTATGAGTTTTTAAAATTACGACTTCCGATGTTTTCAAAAAACGAGGGTCCACTGTAAATTACTGTCTTTGACTAAATAAATAAACAATACTCTAACTAAATACCAGTATTGAAAAGTAAATAATGAATACAAGTTATGGACTTAACGCCTTCATGCTGGGTAATTATCCTAAATTTCATCTAAAAAGTAATTGCCTTTGCATCGTCATAAAGGTGGAATATCGTAAATTGAAACATGGTAAGTAGAGGAGCACCTGTACTTTAGTGTACAAGCACCAGTAATGCTCTTTTGTGTTATGTTAGAAATCAGAGTCATCTTATTGACTGGTCCTCTGCTAAAACTGTCTATCCTTCTAGCCTTCACAGACATTGTCTTGTTGAAGCATCACTTATACAGTATACTTATGTTCAGTGGGATCCTGATTTTCATATGTTTGCAAGTAGAGGTGGAATTTTAACACTAGTTTCTAAAACAAAGAAAAAGGGAGGGATTTATAGGTGTGTATTCTGGTGGTATAACATATCAGGTGATTGTGTGTGTGCTGGTACATAGCACATGTGTGTGTATGTGTGTGTGTGTTACTAATGTGTTGTCTGGTGGTTGTATGGAGGGTGAGGTGAGTATGCTGGCACATTCATGAACTAACAGAGTATTGGATCCATATGTATAGATATACTTGTACATCCATTTTCTCACATAATTACTGGATGTTGTATACACCCTACATAGGAGTGAATGGAGTCAAGTGGTTTTTGTAACCTGATGCACTGTTGGAGTGTGAGGAAGGTAATGTTTGTGAATAGATTTGGGGAAACTGGTTAGACAGACTTGAGTCCCGGAGGTGGAAAGTACAGTACCTGTACTCTGTGGGAGGGGTGGGAATGATGTTCAGAGAGTCATCTGAGCTGTGATGTGAATGACCATGTTTTTTTTTTTGCTTCATCCTGCCATAGTGGGAGCTGGAGGCGGGAAGTACATTGCCTGCACTCTAAAGAGGGGTTTGGAATATTTGCTGTTTGGAGGGACATCTAAACTGTCATATCTGCACACCTCTGGCAAGACAGTGGTAGTGTGAATGATGGTGAAAGTGTTTCTTTTTTGGGTCACCTGCCTCAGTGGGAGATGACCAGTGTTAAAATAAAAGAAACATCTCCATGGAAAAGTGGAAAAAATTCTTCCTCAGTTGGCCATGCATGTCTTAGGAGGCAACTAAAATGTTGGGAGCAAGGGGCTAGTAGCCCATTTTCCTGTAGCAGTTACTAAATATAAAAAGAAGAAAAACTTTCATTTCTTGTTTTTGGGTCACCCTGCCTCTGTAGGAAATGGCAAGTGTGTTAAAAATAATAATAATATCTGTGGAGACAAAAAATATTATCTATGAAGGCAAAGAAGGGAATGTACGAAAGTACAGTGGTACAAACACTCTTATATGGGTGTGAAGCTTGGGTTGTAAATGCTGCAGCGAGGAGGCAACTGGAGGCAGTGGAGATGTCCTGTCTAAGGGCAGTGTGTGGTTTAAATATTATGCAGAGAATTCGGAGTGTGGAAATTAGGAGGAGGTGTGGAGTTACTAAAAGTATTAGTCAGAGGGCTGAAGAGGGGTTGTTGAGGTGGTTTTGTCATTTAGAGAGAATGGATCAAAGTAGAATGACTTGGAGAGCATATAAATCTGTAGGGAAAGGAAGGAGGAGTAGGGGTCATCCTCGAAAAGGTTGGAGGGAGGGGGTAAAGGAGGTTTTGTGGGCGAGGGGCTTGGACTAACAGCAAGTTTGTTAGATAGGAGTAAATGGAGACAAATGGTTTTTGGGACTTGATGAGCTGATGGAGTGTGAGCAGGGTAATATTCAGTGAAGGGATTCAGGGAAACTGGTTATTATAGATTTAGCCGGACTTCAGTCCTGGAAATGGAAAGTACAATGCCTGCACTTTAAAGGAGGGGTCTGGGATATTGACAGTTTGGAGGAACTTCTAAACTGTCATATCTCAGCACCTCTGTAAATTCATTGATTATGTATGAGTTAGGTGAAAGTGTTGAATGATGACAAAAGTATTTTCTTTTTGGGGATTTTCTTTCATTTTGGGTCACCCTGCCTTGGTGGGAGATGGCCAACTTGTTGAAAAAAAAATAATAATCGGTTACCATTCACAGAGGGTTTACTGACCTCAAGAACTAAGTTTTGAACTCTTAGAGGGCATGTAACAACAATTGAAGACAACTTTTAAATGCTGTTATAGTCCAACTGTTTGAGTTTACTTGATGGTCTTCACTACAGGACACACATTGGGCGGTGACATCACCTGCCTCGAGGTGGGCTTTGAACGACGCTTTAACCAGAATGTGACATTCCCTGACGCCCAACAGATGGAAGACTATGCTCGCTACATCATCAAGTTGGAAGGCAGTAGCCATGAGGTGAGAATTATGAGATATACCTTTCAGGGTCGAGAGGCCCTCTCCTAAACTCGTTTTCAGGGTCGAAAATTTTTCATAAAAAAAAAAATTATTTTTTCTTATGAAATGTTAGATAATCTTTTCCCGATGATAATGACAACAAAAGTATGAAATTTGATGGAAAACTTATGAATTATGCTCTTGCGAAGTTAGAGGTCTCGACTATGTTTATGCATCGGCGATTTTGCCCACTTTGAGCCCTATTTTCGGCCAATTTCAGTGTACTAGTCGACAAAAATTATATCTGTTTCGCTAGAAATCCATTTTTTCTATCGAATGAGTACAAAAAACCACCCATTTACCGATTTCAAGTATCCAGTAAAGTGCTCAGAAATTGGCAATTTTGCCAATTTCACACAAATTTCAGAAGGTGCCAATTTTCAAATAGAGTCCAGAATAAACAAGACAGACATTCCTGGCACTAAAATAACATTTTCTCTGTTCATTAGTCATGTCCCCATGCCCCTCTTACATCTCTTTTGCTTTCCACTTTGAATTTTTATTCTCACAAAAAACAGAAGATTTACTGTTATGCAGACTACTGCATTAGTGTAGAAATGGTATAAATAATATCAGTGCACATGTGAAGGAATATTACTCACCAGTTGACATGTATTGGATGCTTGGCATGATTTGTTTACTTTTGAAATTTGGTAAAAATCGAACATTTCAGTTATTTTGAGCTCAATTTCAAGGTACGTTTCATTGTGAAACCAATCAGTATCATCTCAATTTCTGTAATATGCCTTCCATTCTATAAAATGAGACCAGAAAAACTAGAATACAACCATAAATACCATACGAAAATACTGTGCAAAGTCGCTGTTTTAAACCCAAAACACAGAGGTTTTTTTTTCTCATTATGCACTGTGTGCTTCAAGGTTTTTTATACTGTGCACACCGACCACATAGACCCATTCTTTCATATGTAGGCCTACCAGCTTTCTCTCACTAGATTTGAAGGCGCTAGAATTTAGGCGTTCTAGTACGTCAATAACCCTGGTGCGTAAGTCGTACTAGTACGTCGGAAACCCTGAAAGGGTTAATGAGATAAGAATTATAAGATATACAGGTTAATGTTTTTGTCATTTTCATACAACAGTTGCATAAAGGAAGGGCAACTGGCTCCATATTTTAAGGTAGGGTGTGTATTTTTTTTCAGCTGCTTTGAACACTTAATATATGATAGGGTAATCATGTTATCAGGCATTTTAAGCACATTCAGTAATAAAAGAAAAGCTCTTTTCCACCTGCTGGCAATTTTTGCTTACAATACTGGATCAGGAACCTGACAGCCATATAAAGTTACCTGTTTGGTATCTGCAAAAGCAAAGTTGCCATACTATGCTTATGGCATTTTGCATTTTTTTGTTTCACTTATGATTAATAATGTTTAGATGACCTGTTTGGATTTTTTTGTTTTTTTGGTGTGTGATTGCTTATTTGTACTATAAGACAGAGGTGTGAAGTACAGTGACTGCACTCTGAAGGAGTAGAGTGGGAAGTACAGTGACTGCACTCTGAAGGAGTAGAGTGGGAAGTACAGTGTCTGCACTCTGAAGGAGGAGTAGAGTGGTAAGTACAGTATCTCCACTCTGACGGAGGGGAAGAGTGGGAAGTACAGTGACTCCACTCTGATGGAGGGGAAGAGTGGGAAGTACAGTGACTCCACTCTGATGGAGGGGAAGAGTGGGAAGTACAGTGACTCCACTCTGGTGGAGGGGAAGAGTGGGAAGTACAGTGTCTCCACTCTGGTGGAGGGGAAGAGTGGGAAGTACAGTGTCTCCACTCTGAAGGAGGGGTAGAGTGGGAAATACAGTGTCTCCACTCTGAAGGAGGGGTAGAGTGGGAAGTACAGTGTCTCCACTCTGAAGGAGGAGTAGAGTGGGACGTACAGTATCTCCACTCTGATGGAGGGGAAGAGTGGGAAGTACAGTGTCTCCACTCTGAAGGAGGGGTAGAGTGGGAAATACAGTGTCTCCACTCTGAAGGAGGGTTAGAGTGGGAAGTACAGTGTCTCCACTCTGAAGGAGGAGTAGAGTGGGAAGTACAGTGTCTCCACTCTGAAGGAGGGGAAGAGTGGGAAGTACAGTGTCTCCACTCTGAAGGAGGGGTAGAGTGGGAAGTATAGTGTCTGCACTCTGAAGGAGGGGAAGAGTGGGAAATACAGTGTCTCCACTCTGAGGGAGAGGTAGAGTGGGAAGTACAGTGTCTGCACTCTGAAGGAGGGGAAGAGTGGGAAGTACAGTGTCTGCACTCTGAAGGAGGGGTAGAGTGGGAAGTATAGTGTCTGCACTCTGAAGGAGGAGTAGAGTGGGAAGTACAGTGCCTGCACTCTGAAGGAGGGGAAGAGTGGGAAGTACAGTGTCTCCACTCTGAAGGAGGGGTAGAGTGGGAAGTATAGTGTCTGCACTCTGAAGGAGGGGAAGAGTGGGAAGTACAGTGTCTCCACTCTGAAGGAGTAGAGTGGGAAGTACAATGTCAGCACTGAAGGAGGGGTAGAGTGGGAAATACAGTGTCTGCATTCTGAAAGAGGAGTAGAGTGGGAAGTACAGTGTCTGCACTCTGATGGAGGGGTAGAGTGGGAAGTAGTGTCTGCACTCTGATGGAGGGGTAGAGTGGGTAGTACAGTGTCTGCACTCTGAAGGAAGGGTAGAGTGGGAAGTACAGTGTCTCCACTCTGGAGGGGAAGAGTGAGAAGTACAGTGTCTCCACTCTGAAGGAGGGGTAGAGTGGGAAGTATAGCATCTGCACTCTGAAGGAGGGGAAGAGTGGGAAGTACAGTGTATCCACTCTGAAGGAGGGGAAGAGTGGGAAATACAGTGTCTCCACTCAGAAGGAGGGGTAGAGTGGGAAGTACAGTGTCTCTACTCTGAAGGAGTAGAGTGGGAAGTACAGTGTGTGCACTCTGAAGGAGGGGTAGAGTGGGAAGTACAGTGTCCGCAATGATGGAGGGGTAGAGTGGGACGTACAATGTCTGCACTCTGATGGAGGGGTAGAGTGGGAAGTACAGTGTCTCTACTCTGAAGGAGGGGTAGAGTGGGAAGTACAGTGTCTGCACTCGGAAAGAGGGGTAGAATGGGAAGTACAGTGTCTGCACTCTGAAAGAGGGGTAGAGTGGGAAGTACAGTGTCTGCACTCTGAAAGTGGGGTAGAGTGGGAAGTACAGTGTCCACGCTGATGGAGGGGTAGAGTGGGACGTACAATGTCTGCACTCTGATGGAGGGGTAGAGTGGGAAGTGCAGTGTCTGCACTCTGAAGGAAGGGTAGAGTGGGAAGTAATGTCTGCACTCTGATGGAGGGGTAGAGTGGGAAGTACAGTGTCTGCACTCTGAAGGAGGGGTAGAGTGGGAAGTACAGTATCTCCACTCTGAAGGAGAAGTAGAGTGGGAAGTACAGTGTCTCTACTCTGAAGGAGGGGTAGAGTGGGAAGTACAGTGTCTCCACTCTGAATGAAGGGTAGAGTGGGAAGTACAGTATCTGCACTCTGAAGGAGGGGTAGAGTGGGAAGTACAGTGTCTCTACTCTGAAAAAGGGGCAGAGTGGGAAGTACAGTGTCTCCACTCTGAAGGAGGGGTGTAGGTGGGAACTACAGTGTCAGCACTTTAAAGGAGGGGTGGAGGTGGTAAGTACAGTGTCTGCACTCTGAAGGAGGGGTGGAGGTGGGAAGTACAGTGTCTGCACTCTGATGAAGGGGTAGAGTGGGAAGTACAGTGTCTGCACTCTGAAGGAGGGGTAGAGTGGGAAGTACAGTGTCTGCACTCTGAAGGAGGGGTAGAGTGGAAAGTACAGTGTCTGCACTCTGAAGGAGGGGTAGAGTGGGAAGTACAGTGTCTGCACTCTGAAGGAGGGGTAGAGTGGGAAGTACAGTGTCTGCACTCTGAAAGAGGGGCAGAGTGGGAAGTACAGTGTCTGCACTCTGAAGGAGGGGTAGAGTGGGAAGTACAGTGTCTGGACTCTGAAAGAGGGGCAGAGTGGGAAGTACAGTGTGTGAACTCTGAAGGATGGGTAGAGTGGAAAGTACAGTGTCTCCACTCTGAAGGAGGGGTAGAGTGGGAAGTACAGTGTCTGCACTCTGAAGGTGGGGTAGAGTGGGAAGTACAGTGTGTGCACTCTGAAGGATGGGTAGAGTGGGAAGTACAGTGTCTGCACTCTGAAGGAGAGGTGGATGTGCAAAGTACATTGTCTGCACTCTGAAGGAGGGGTAGAGTGGGAAGTACTGTGTCTGCACTCTGAAAGAGGGGCAGAGTGGGAAGTACAGTGTCTCCACTTTGAAGGAGGAGTAGAGTGGGAAGTACAGTGTCTGCATTCTGAAGGAGTACAGTGGGAAGTACAGTGTCTGCACTCTGGAGGGGTAGAGTGGGAAGTACAGTGTCTGCACTCTGAAAGAGGGGCAGAGTGGGAAGTACAGTGTCTCCACTCTGAATGAGGTGTGTAGGTAAGAAGTACAGTGTCTGCACTCTGAAGGAGGGGTGGAGGTGGGAAGTACAGTGTCTGCACTCTGATGAAGGGGTAGAGTGGGTAGTACAGTGTCTGCACTCTGATGGAGGGGTAGAATGGGAAGTACAGTGTCTGCACTATGAAGGAGGGGTAGAGTGGGAAGTACAGTGTCTGCACTCTGAAGGAGGGGTAGAGTGGAAAATACAGTGTCTCCACTCTGAAGGAGGGGTAGAGTGGGAAGTACAGTGTCTGCATTCTGAAGGAGGGCTAGAGTGGGAAGTACAGTGTCTGCACTCTGAAAGAGGGGCAGAGTGGGAAGTACAGTGTCTCCACTCTGAAGAAGGAGCAGAGTGGGAAGTAGTGTCTGCACTGTGAAAGAGGGGTAGAGTGGGAAGTACAGTGTCTGCACTCTGAAGGAGGGGTAGAGTGGTAAGTACAGTGTCTGCACTCTGATGAAGGGGTAGAGTGGGTAGTACAGTGTCTGCACTCTGAAGGAGTGGTAGAGTGGGAAGTACAGTGTC